GATATACCGTTTCCCAGAAGGGCTGGGTTTTGGTAGTGGCCCTACTATATCCACTGCTACACGGCTGAATGGTTCCTCAATTATAGGTAAGGGACACAGTTTTGCCTTGTGGCGATCCCCCCTTTTGCCTACCCTCTGGCACACATCACAGGAGGTACAATATTGCCTCACGTCTTTAGAAATCCCGGGCCAAAAGAATGCGTGCGTTAGGCGATACCGGGTCCGGGTCATCCCTAGATGGCCGGACAGAGGGATATCATGGGCGATTCTTAGTAACTCCTGCCTATACTTCTGGGGCACTACTAGCTGCTTAGTTTGGAGTGTCACAGAGTTGCCTATTGCCCTTTCCGCCACCCGGTATAGTAACTTCTTCTCCCACCTGTACTGTTCTCCCTCCCGCCCCACCTGGTCCGTATCTACCCTATCTCGGTATACCTGCAGTGTGGGGTCTGTCTGCACCTCTACTTCAAACGCGGACGGGGTGTCCCAAGTCATGTCCGTCAAGGGGGGGGGTCATGATTTCTTACCTGAGCCTCAGAGTGTGCGGGGAATGCCGTGGTGCGAGCCTGTTGCCGGGTGGTTACCGGATGCGCCTCTTGTGACGGGGCCTGAGGTAGAAAAGCAGAAGTCATCTGGCCCAAGTCATTCCCCAAAACAACATCGGCCGGTAGTTTTTCATTATGGCCACTTCCACAACCCCCTCCCCAGCACCCCAATTCAAATGCACCTTGGCCGTGGGTAACCGGTACATGGCTCCCCCTGCTACCCGGACTGCCACTGATCCGCCAGTGTGGGCCGTATCTGGAATTAAATGGGGAGCCACTAAGGTCAAGGTGGCTCCCGAGTCCCGCAGCCCCTGCACTTCTTTCCCTCCCACAAACACAACTTGGCGGTGATGCTGCCGGTTGTCCGTGGCTTGCACAGACATCACCTCGTATAGAACCCCCAATGGTTCCTCGGTTGGTAGACTTGTCAGCTCCGAGTGGTCAGGTTCTGCGTGGTAGAAATGGGCCGCCGCCCTGGGAACAGAATTCTGCCGTACCTGGTTCCACGCCTGCCTGCTACGATTCTGGGTGCACTCCCGTGACATATGCCCCCACTGCCGGCAGGTATGGCATTGTATGTTGGCCCTGCCATTGTAGCGGGTTGGCGGTGGGGGGTTTCCTGGTGGTGGCCTGAATGGGGTAGAGTTGGCGGGCGTGGAGCTGGCTGGGTGATGTTGTATTGGCGGTCTTAGGGGACCCCTGTTGGTGAGCCCATGGTGTCTCCGGGCATCAAAGTGTTCGTCTGCCAATCGGGCGGCTGCTGTGAGGGTGAGAGGTTTTCTGTCCCTTACTCACTCCTGTGCCTCTGGTGACAGACCGTTGAAGAATTGCTCCAGCAAGATAAGTTGGCGCAGTTCCTCCATGGTGGTGGCTTGACTTGCCTGAATCCACCCTTGCGAAGCTTGGTCCAGCTTATGCGCCCATTCTGCGTGGTAATCTCTTTCGGGCTTTTTCAACCCCCGAAATTTCCGTCGGTATGCCTCTGGGGTTATGGCATATCTTTCTAGGATTGCTCTTTTTACTTTGAAATAGTCTTTGCTGTCCTCTCTGGGCACAGCGCGGTAAGCCTCTGCTGCTCGTCCCGCCAACTTGCCTGCCAGTAGGGGTACCCACATTGCCGGTTCCAGATCGTGCAGGTCGCATAGCCTCTCGAAATCCTGCAGATATCCGTCTATCTCATCCTTCTCCTCGCAGAATGCTTTAAATGCCTGGTACGGTATTTTCTGCTTTGTTGGAGCGCAGAATGAGTTGACGATGGATTCTGCCCTGGATGGTGACCTCTGGTGTTGCTGTGCCATAATGTAGTCCTGGACGTCGGCCATTAGCACGGTTAAGATGTCCAGGGTTACTGGCTGTGGTACAAATTCCAGCCGGGTTCTCAGTTCCCTCTGGTATGGTGTTTCCTCTCTGGCAGGTGGGGGTGGACTGCTGTGTGCTTGGTCGCCCTCCATTAGCTCTGCAATCAGTACTGCCTTCGATTTGTTGCTAGCGCTTTTCCCTCTAGCCTCCAGCAGCTCCTTTAGCGTCTGTCTCTTTAACGCCGTGTAATCAGTCCCCATTCACTGATCGCTTTCGTCTGCTTGTTTCATACGAATTGCCTTTCCGTTCGGTTGTTCCTTTCATTCGAATGCGCTGTATTCGGCTGTAGAGTTGGATCCCGTCGCTTGCCACCAATTGTAGCGGAACGCCAATAATAAATCCACGAATTCCGCTGGTCCAGAAACGAATCCACAGTCAAGCGCTGAAAACACCAAGGCAATATCCCCAACCTCCCAATAACCGGACGAGACACAGTTTTGGGAGTCAACTGAAATCCTTTTAATCGGCACGACAATTTATACAAGTCCCCATGCAAGGGGTTTCCTGAGTCCCTCCCAGGGGCACTCCCAGAGGGGACTACATGGGGGACTTACAGTACAACATATTTCTCCCATCAGGCACCGCTGCACGAGAGGGATCATCCTCCCAGAATGCACCGTTAAGGGGATTATCCCCTCGTGCAGCAGAACCGGCAATTCACACAAAAATCCATAACTTTTAAAATACACGGTGGATTTACACGAATGGACGTTCGGTAGATAGCTGGGGTCTGGGCGCATCATTCGTGAGATTGCCGCTCAGATCCCAGCTAAAATAACCGAACGCCGCACAGAAAACACATTTCTTTCAAAACATACGAAAAGAACCGATTACTTTTAGTGAACACGGTTCTGAAACTCCCGAACGTCCTGGAGGCTCAGCGGTGTTCGTGCCGTCGAATAGCTATTGGTAATACTATGCGTTCGACAACACGGACCCGCTGAGGAACAAAGGATCCAAGATGGCCGACCGCCGCATGGTCGGTAGTCGAACGACGGCCACCCAGGAGAGCCTCTAATAACCGATTGCAACAATGTTGCAATCGGTTAACTAGCGCCACACGCCTCTAAGTGTGTGGGCTATCAGGGGATATTACGTTCGGTTCACGAACGGCTTTCTAAAGTGCCGTTCGTGAAACGAAAGAAAATCCCCATACAAAACCGCCATTTGCATTCGACTGAAACAGCAGTACAGGCAATACAGAAATTACATGAACATTTACATAAGTGTGAAGCGCGTATCTCGCCCGACCTATTGGCAACCCTTAAAGGCACAGTCTCTAGTTCTTGTCCAAGTGGCTAGGTTTGCCACAGAGACGCACCGTAAGTGCACAGGCATTGTGTCGTGGTATATCGCTAAGGCTCAGGGGTGGGGTGTGTGGGTAGATTGGGGCCACGCACCCGGGCGGTCCAAGGCTACGGGGATGGGAGGAGGGTAAGTGGGGGGGGGGTGTTGGGATTCTTGTCTAAGGGAGAGGCTGAGTCTGTGGGGGTTTTGGGGGTGAGGGCTGGAGGTTAGGAGGGGTAATCTGCTGGGCTTATATCGTTGCCAGCAGTATACGGGGTGAGCGTCTATCCGCTCGGTGGGTGTTCTTACCCTAGTGGTGTCGTGTTATCAGGGGTTGGCAAACTCTCAACACTCACACTGCCTGCCGGCAACTCTGCTGGAATCGTATACGTTGGTAGGTGGTGGTCGGTCCAAGTGTTGGATGTGACAGTCAGTTCTATCGTTCCTCACCTCGTGTGAAGGTATAGGCGTGTAAGGTCAGTGCGTCAGTGCCGCCAGGGCTTGGTGATATATTTGTAGCGTCCGCTTAACGTCCGCTAGGTCCCTTGTCTGTGTTGCGTCCAGTGTGTCAGTGGGTACCTTTCGTGGTATGGTCGTAGCTGGGTCTAAAGGGGAGGTTGTGTCACAACAAGAGAAAATGAGACATTTAGGAAAATAAACATAGCATGCAGAACAGTGACAAACATTGCTGTAACATTCTGAGTGTACCATATTTTGATTTGTCTTTATACTCGCTGTGCTCTGGAAGCTAGAGTATCTCCAGTGGCCTGTTAGTGCAGGGGGAAAGGTGCCCGGAGGTGTCCAATACGGGGCATCCTGGGTTCATGCATGGATTGACTTATTTTCGTGGTCCCCCCCTGAGGGTTAGTCTCTCTACGTTGGTTTGGCTCAATGTTTGTCTGGGGATAGGCTTGCCCATCGATCAGGGATCGGTGGTCTGCTTTGAATGTATGGGCTCGTATGCAGTAGTATATATGTATCTGCATGTTTTTGTTTTTTTTGTTAGTTTGTTTGTTTATGAATTTTGGGGGGAAGGGGGTCCCCTATAGTGTGACGTGCTGTGCGTCTTTCCCGATGGGTTGCCGTCCATGTGGCTAGGGCGTTGTAACCTTAGTGTGGTGGGAGGTTGTGGGGCTCGCTGGTTCCATGGGAAGGGCCCGTGTTCTTCTGTGTGCTTGGTTGTCTGGTAAGCTATACGTTTATAAGTTCCCTGGATGCCTGCGGACAAGCAGATGTCAGTTACCGGGGCCAACTGGGCGTGTGTTCGGCTGTCAATCTAATGCCCACCCTAGTGTTAATGTCCAGGAATGGGGTTAGCAGCCTATGTCCCCTATGTAGGCAGTAGCTTGTGTTTGGTCCCTTTAGGGTGTGTAGGGTTAGCTGGTTTCCCTTGGTGTCAGTGGCTAGCTAATGTAGGTTCATACAGGCGTCTAGTGGTAGGGTCACCAACGGCTGGACCCGGAGGTCCCGTTGATGCGGTTTTTTTTTCCCCTCCCTCTCCCTCTTTCGTCCCCCTCCCCTCCCTGCGTGGTCTCCCATGTAGTATACAGCTGTAAGGGTAGAGCTAAAGTCGAAAGTTGGAACATGTAACGTAAGGTTGCCACATAATTAGGCATGTTTAGTGCAAAGTCATATCTTACCTGGTTCTGGGCGGCAGGTGGTTACATAGTTCATAGTCTCCTGGCATTCGAGTCCGTGGATTCGGTAGTCTTGAAGGTGTGTTTTCTGTTGTCCTGGCGGCGTGGTGCGGGTGAGGGTTGGGTTGAAGGTGGTAGTCCATGTCGCAGTGGCGTGGTCATCTGGTCATCTTTAGTTGGCCGGTGGAGGGCAAGAGCTGCTGGGAGCTGGAGCCCTAGTCGGGTGCGGTGTTGGGCCCCTAGGAGAAAGCCTTCCTGCAGGGCGTCTGTCAGGCTGTTCGGCGTTGAGGTCAATGGCCGGAAGGTCCAGGCGTTCCGCGAATTCTGTTGCTTCGGAGATATTGTGCAGAGTGAATACACGGTTATTTTGTCTGACTTGTAGCTTGAAGGGGTGGCCCCATGTGTATCTTATGTGTCTCCTGGCCAGTTCCAGGGTTAGGGGTCTAAGTTCCCTTCTTTTGCGTATTGTGCTTGGAGCTAAATCTTGATAGAAACATACTTGGTGCCCCTCTATCTGGAGTGGGGTGTCTCTTGCCGCTCTCATCAGCGCCTCTTTAATATGGAAATAGTGCATGCAGATAATAATATCCCTGGGCTGGGTTGCGTTAGGAAGAGGGGCTTTAAGGGCCCTGTGGGCTCTGTCTAGTAGGAGCTCGGCCGGTGAGGCCTCTGGGAGTAGGCCGCAGAAAAGCTCTCTCAGTGTGGAGGCCAGTGTATCTATTCCAACCGTCTCTGGCACCCCGCAAATTCGTATGTTGTTACAGCGGGAACGGTTATTGAGGTCTTCTTGGGCCTCTTCCAGCAGGCGTACCTGGTCTTGCAGTGCTGAGATGGCAGTCTCATTTGTCTGTGACCGCGTGGAGGTGCGGTCTAGCTGGTCTTCAATGGCGGTAGTTCTGCGTGTAAGATCATTTAGGCTGTCTGTAATGGGCGCCAGGTGTCTGGAGAACTCGGCAGCCATGTTCATTTTAATCTCCTGCAGCAGGTGTCGGAGGTCTTCTTTTGTGAGAGGTGTCGTGGCTGCTTTGCGGCTAGTATCGCTTGCCGCCGAGTCAGAGTCTTCATCGCGGCCATCTTCCCCACGTGAGGAGCTCTCCTCCCTGCGGGCGTGGAAGATTGGCGCTACCTTCGCGCCATGCTTGGTTTTGCGTCCTCCTCCCATGTCAGGTCGGTTGGGTGCCGTGGCAGGGATGCTTTGGACCGGGTATGCTGTCCGTTCGTCGGGTATACGTGCGGTTAGAAGCGGATATTGTGCCTGCCGGTACGGAGCTCTAGCAGAAAGCAGCCATCCCACCGGAAGTCAGGCGCCGCCCCCCAAAAATAAAGAATTTAAAAAAGAAAATATACATTTTTGACCCTATAGTGCTCCTTTAAATAAAAAAATAAAAAAGAACTTATTTTTAAATATACGTGATGCATCAATTTCTTTTAAATGTATGTTGAAGATTTAGCTAGTGACATCACAATCTAGTCCATTCCAGGCACACCAAGGGCACAATACAAGTTAGAAGGATAAGAGAAACGTTGTTTCTCCTTTTCAATTAAGTTCAATGGCAGCAAAGCATGATACATATTGCTGATTGACAGGGAATCAAGATAGAGGAGCTCAGTTCCCTGATAGAGATACACGCAGAGATGTGGTTTTTAAATAAATAAATAATTAATTATTTTTATAGATTTGCCAAAAACATGGGCTAAGTAAACATACAGTTAAAACTCCTTGGAATAGACTCTTCCCCCCTTAAAATGTAGTACATGTGTTTAAAGATCAGTTTGTGTAGTAGATACAATGATTTGTTTCCATGCTATATTTCCAGTTACATAAATAGATAGCGGTAGGTCACACAGTTACTGAATATGTTGCACAATAGCCCCACCCCTGACTACCACCCAGATCTCAGCCCCGGAAAAAAAAGGGTCCCTCTTTAGTCATGTGGAATGTTGGGAGTTATGCAATCAACTGATGCACGTGCTAAGGAAGGATTTAACATTTTTAGCAAGATGGGCTGACTGCCATGTTTGTTAACTCTCCAAGTGCTAAAAGGCACATTACGGGAACTTGGTGATACAATGCACAGATACTAAATCAAAGGGGAATCCGGGCGTGCCAAACCATTTTCAGCTAAAGCTATCAATAACCAAGTAACTAAAAAGCTATAGCAGCCAATTCACAACAAGTGGCATATTTCTCTGATGCCAATAAATGGTTACGTAAAGCCAGTCCCCAGGGGAAACCTATACATGTATATAAATATTCCGACAGCCAGCCACACTTGCCAGGGTCTTTAAAATGAGCAATTGCTATAGAGCTGTCTAGTCGCACCTGTTGAGTGGCTCATATGGGCGCTCCATATATGCAAGTTCAGCGTGAACTCATGTTACCCAGTGTCAGAGCAGAGCAGGCCCATTCCACCAAGAGGTTTAGCCACTAAACAAGGAATTGTGGATAATTGTCAAGCAAATGACAAAATCACAGCTGTTTTGACAGAAATTTGTTATGCTCTGAAAGTTTCTGCAACTCCCATTTTAGTGGAGTAATCCCAAAATGTTGAAATGTACTATTGGCTCATCCAGACTAAAATAAAATGCATACTCCAGTTTGTTGTATTCATGTTGTTACCCAATAAAGATGGTATGCTTTTCATTATATGCGTTCCTGAATAAATAGACAATATGCTCACTGTTCTTAAATACTACCAACCCCTGTTCTTAGTAAATAAAGCCAGCAGGTTCAGCTCTGTGGTCAATATTAACCCCTTAAGTTCTGGTAAACAAAATCAAAACAACTTAGAATTTGAGGTATGTGCCTGTTCAACCATAAATTACCTTTCATATTAAGTGCACACACACTTATTATAGATCATTTTGTTCAGGAGAAATCAGGCTTTCATTTCACTTCAAATATGTATAAATGAAATATATGAATAAAATCTTTAAAAAAAAAAAGATAATTTTTAAAAAAAGAGGTTGAGAACTTGTCATTTTAACTGTGAAAGTCATAATATTGTTAGCTTTTACTGCAATAATATTTGTATTCAGCAATGTCTCACAATTACCCCCCCAAGTTACAGGGTTAAATATAGGGCTTTCCCCATTTCAGATTTTCTACATTGAAATTTGCCGGATTATGTAGCCTTTGAGGCCATATGGCAACCCAGGAATGAGAATTACCTCCATCATGGCATGTCATTTGCAAAATTAGACAACCCAAGGTATTCAAAGTAGAGCATGTTCAGGCTTCTTGTAGCCACAAATCCTGGCCAAAGTTATCGTTTATATTTGTATTCTGCATTTTTCACTCAAAAAAATGCCATCTTCAGTGATGATAGTGTCATACATTTTATTGTTTTAAAACTCATTTGTGTTCAGTGAGTCTCCTGGGATTTTATGGCGTGTTGTAGATTGTCACGGAAAGTTACACGGTTAAATATAGGGCCTGCAAATTAAATTATCTCGACTTTCTTACTGGGTTGTCAGGTAGGTTCTTTAAAATGTTTTTTTTTTTTTTTAACACTACAAAATCTCATAATTATGTAAAAAAAAGTCTACGTATATTTTATAGATGGGGGATGTAAATATATAATTGTATATTTAAGCATTATTTAATTTTTACAATGCTTGGGGGACTGCCTGATAACCCAGGCAGCCCCCCTGCACACAGTACGGCTAACTGCCAATCTGGCCTTGTGATCACGATCTGCTGGGTGCGCTATGCCGCCCTACGGCATTAAAGCTTACCGTTTTCATGGAGTCATAGCACACCTGCCGTCTTTGAGGGGTTGTGAATTATAGAATGATGATTCGCAGTGCATGGACAGTAGATCAGATTATTCTGAGAATTCTGGAGAATTGGAAAGGGAACTGCAATATTTAATCCAAACCGGACACACTGGAAAAATAGGGCATCTGTCAAATTATTCCGGTTTGTCTATTTTTGCATAACGGGTGAAATTTACTTTGACTTCCCAACAATTCAGCCTTTAATGTAAACCCCTATATAAGGTCGACTTAAATTCTGCAACTCCTCTCCAGTCTCTACTTTACAGGTTTATTCATTCAGGGTTTGTCTGAATCTTAAATTTAAGGTCAAAATAACTGAACTATAAAACATTCTCTAAATCAGCTATGATTGCCGGTCGGCTACTCTGGCCTTAAATTTGAAATGCCTTTTGAATTCTCACGTTCGGAAATAACACTGACAATCTATTTGAGACAAGAGTGTGGTTTCCATTTCACTAGTGAATAACACCCTTTAGGTTTTAAGATGACCCCACAGTGACCAGTTCCTTTACCCTATGGGACAGCCGGCAGCTGGTTGAGATTAATGGTTATTTGTGAGTGTAGGATAAAATCTCTCCGTAACTTGTCCCATACACGTATTCCTGCAGCTAGACCCTGGAATAATCTGCCTGCTTGCATCACATTTCAGTAGCGATAAACATGATAATAGTAGATTTACTATTTAGCCTTATGTGCGATCCAAACTCATTCAACAAACCAAGCTTGATAAAGACACTCTGAAAGGTATTTAATCTGTGCCCGCTACTGCTTGGAACCAGAAAGAGAGCGTGGCGTTCCCAAGGGCAACGGGCTGCTGTTGGCATTCCACCACCAAGGGTGCAGGGGCCAAATTATGACAGCTACAGGAGGAGGAGATATCAGGCACTTCACATGCCGTTCCCTTCTTGAAGTGGATCTGGCACTGTTGAGAGTTCTATCTTCTTGAATTTACTTTTCAGTGGCTGATGGGTTTTTTTATTTTTATTTGGCAAACAGTATAATCGTTTTGCAGATAAGAGTTATTAGCCAAAAATAAATATAACAACCTCGTGTGGAGTTATAATCATTCCTGGAGATGCTCTGGATTTTTCCTACAAAATGTAAGGCTCTGTATGTATGTTATGTAAAATGTGCACAAGTGTGTCACAGAGCTCCACAGCAAGAATACTCCCAGTAATGTGTCAGTGTATAACAGAGCTCCACAGCAAGAAAGCTCCCAGTAAGGTGTCAGTGTATAACAGGGCTCCACAGCAAGAATACTCCCAGTAATGTGTGTCTTTAACCCCTTAAGGACACATGACATGTGTGACATGTCATGATTCCCTTTTATTCCATAACTTTGGTCCTTAAGGGGTTAAATTACAAAAAAAAAAGTGTTAGGAAATCAGTCTGTAAAAAGATACATTAAAAGAAAATAAAAACAACCATTAAGAAACCAAGTCAACACACACATACGGAATCATCTATGATAGCATAAACAGATACGCCCACAACATTCAGGTTGATAAATACAGATGTACTGAGACATATATGGTGTATTATAATCATATTTGCATTCACCAAAAATATTTATGCCTTGCATATTAGATATTTACTCATTTCTTTGGTGTCTGCCTAGATATATGCGACTCACGATTTAGGGGTTTTTAAAGAAATGTTGAATTGTGGGAATTGAACAATAAATTCCAAATCACACAAGAGGAGAGGAGTGGACTCCAGTAAACTAGGGAGTAGCGTGGATAAGGGTCGGGGCATGGCCCGCTTGTCCCCCTGTTCTTCCTCCCCCCCCCCTCTTTTTTCTTCTTCTCTCTTTCCTTCCTTTCCTTTCTCTCCTCTCTTTCCTTTTTCTCTTCATTCATTTCTCCCTTGAAACTCAAGGGAATTTCTTAAATTAAAGTCTTACTATATGTTTGAATGCTCGTACAAAAACAAAAACCCTCGGTGGAAGGTACGAGGTGCGAATCAGCCATACGCAAAATCTGGCGTTTTACTGTATGCTATCTATATCTTAACTCAGCCATGTTTCAAATGTAGCGTTACGAGTGTTGTGAATAAGGCTTCTGCGTAAGCCAGATTGTCGTTGGCATGTTACTGTATTTCCTGCCGAGTGAAAAATAAAGAATTTAAAAAAAAAAAAAAAAGAAACCAAGTCAAAGAAAAGTAAATAGTTAAATAAAAAATTTGGACTGAGGTTTGAGCAATTCTGCTTAAATAATGTTTAAAGGACCACTCTAGGCACCCAGACCACTTCAGCTTAATGAAGTGGTCTGGGTGCCAGGTCCAGCTAGGGTTAACCCCCCTTTTTTTAATAAGTAGGTTAAGCCAGCCTCTAGTGGCTGTCTCATTGACAGCCGCTAGAGGCGTTTGCATGCTTCTCACTGA